GAGTGGAACTGCCCACAGGGTCTCCAAGGCTGTCAGTCTTTATGGGAGCAAAGCCCAAACCACACCCACTGCCGTGGAGACCATTCTGACCCACAGCGCCCCTAGAGGACAGAGTGGAACTGCCCTGCAGGGTTTCCTAGGCTGTCAGTCTTTACAGGAACAGAGTGCCACATCTTTCTCCCACAGAGCTGCTGGTGGGTTTGAACTGCTGACTTTTTGGTTAGCAGTCAACCACTTAACCACTGTGCCAATGGCGCTCCCCTGGACCTGGTAGCACTGGGAAGATAACCACCACCATCCCTTCATTCACCACTTCAACCCAGGCCCTGGTCCTCCTTTCTGTCATGTCTAAGACAGCCTGGGCCTGGAGCTTAAAAGGTGAAAATTAACGAGGCATTCAGAACCAGGAGCTCGAGCACAGACTGTCAGTGCAGCCCAGGCCCTGCCTGTGAGACCTGCCCGAGGCAGAAGGCGCCTGCCTGGTCCCCCCCAGCCTCCTGTAGTTGATAAGGAAACCGAGGCCCCAGAGGCTGAGCAGTAACACAGACCGGAGGTGCAGGGCTGGGGCCGGAACTGAGACACTCCTGCTTGGTTTACATCAACCACGACACTACTCAGTGCTGTGTACGGGAAAACCTGCAAAAGCCAGAAACTGCTAAGACAGAAACAAGTCTGAGAAAGAAAACTCAAATATTTCCCACTGAAACGAGCGATAGAAAAGGGTAAGATTGCAGCTTGTCAGAGAAGGAAAGCTTGCAGGACCCACAAGAGCCAGGTCGTCCTGCTGACTGCAGCCCTCATGGGTTTCCTTGGATGACTGCTGCACCATGATGAATACAAACCTGACACAACTGGTTAGAACCCCCGCTGCTCCCACACTAACAAGGTAAACACTGCTCACTGTGTCCATGTGCCTGTTTAGAGCGTGCACGGGATAACTCACTTGCGTCGTAGCAGTTGTCTGGATCTTCCGGACTTCCTTCCCCAGTTCTTTGCCATCATCAGATCTCTCTGTATCGGAAATTATACTCCCAGCGTCCATGTTTGGTACGATTTTGCTGCTGGAAGACTCTGTTTCCAGAGTCGTGGCAGTCATTTCTGCGTATTCCAGCCCTTTGGATGAGGATGTCAAGTCTCTGTCAGAAACGCTGCTCATCCCGTCTGAAGTCGTGTGGATTTTGAACTCCTTTTCCTCTATGATGCTGGACGGACAAGTCAGGTCGACACTGGTGGCCATGTGAGCAAGCAGCCCAAGGTCGTCACCAACACCAAGATGCACCTGCGTGTCCTGAAGGTTGGGGATGATGTGATTGCTGGAGAGCTCTGGGAGCAGTTTCTCCTCCTGTTTGGGTATTTTGTCAAAGAGAAACGGGCTGCCGCTGCTGGGAAGCGCATCTTTGTCATCGGCCAGCGTGATCAGAGGGCCGTTATCCTTGTCCTCGCCTTGTTTAAGGATGCTCACGCTGCCGTGCACGGTGCCCTGCAGCTTCTCAACGGCCGCACTGTACACGTTATCCAGCAGCGACTCCACCTCCACCAGCGCCCCGTTCTCCCCACCCACCAGTGTCTCCGGAGATAAGTCCATGTCATCAAGCTTGACTTCTGTTGCTTCCACTTTTTCAGCTTTGATATCGACTAAGAGGTCATGCACTTCCACGTGCACGCCACTTCCCGGTCTGTCTGCACGCCCGAGGATGTCGTCTGGCACCTTGGCTGACATGAGTAAGTCCCTCGTATCTGCGCTGACCGGGTAGTCGGTCTCACTCTCTGGGCTCTGGCTCTGCGAAAGGTCTTCTATCTCCCGGATTTCCATCCCTCCCTTGGCTCCTGTGGTCTGTGAGGAGAGGCCAGAGATGGTGCTCACGCTCCCCTTCTTGCCCTTCTTAATGTTCTCTTCCTCCTGTCTTTGATACTCCTCGTACATTTTTGCGAGGTATTCCTTATGTGCTTCATACGTGACCTTACAAGCAATAAGAAAAGGAAAATGTGTTACATTAATGCATTTCGTATATGTTAAACCCACTGCCATTGAGTCGATTCCAACTCACAGCGCCCCTAGAGGACAGAGTGGAACTGCCCCACAGGGTCTCCCAGGCTGTCAATCTTCACGGAAGCAAAGCCCAAACCACACCCACTGCCATGGAGTCCATTCTGACCCACAGTGCCCCTAGAGGACACAGTGGGACTGCACCACAGGGTTTCCAAGGCTGTTGATCTTTGCAGAAGGAGACTGCCATATCTTTCTCCCATCAAGTAGCTGGTGGGTTCAAACCTCCATCCTTTCAGTCCACAGCTGAGCACTTTAACTACAGTGCCACCAGGGCACCTATATTTAAATATTGTTGTTGTTGTTATGTGCCGTCGAGTCGGCCCCGACTCATAGCGACCCCTCCTTGGGTTTCCGAGGCAGTATCACTACGGAAGTAGGATTGCCCAACCTTCCTTCCGAGGAGTGGCTGGTGGGTTTGAACCGCCAGCCGTCTGGTTAGCAGGCAAGTGTCTTAGCCACTATGCTACCAGAGCTCCTATTTAAATATAGGTGCTTAGAATTAAAAATAAAGTCACAAGATTTAAAAATACTAAAAAACAAACAAACAAACACACTTTAAATGCATTTATGATTCACTTAGAAATGAAAACAAATTGTATTTTATAAAAAGCCTAAAAAGGTTTATTTTAGGAAACGCTTTGTGAGAGCCAGGCATGCTTTAGTTAGGAGCGACTAGCTCACGTGTGCTCTGGGAGCTGCTCTGAAGCCGTGCGTCAGGTCACATCCGGGGTCTCGATTTCTAGCGTGTAAAATGGGGACTGACTGACATGATGGCTAAGATACCTTCCACCTGGAACACTAACAAGGGTGGGTGGGCCAGAGAACACGTAGTCCACATTGCCCAGCAGAGGGCAGCAGACGGTGGTTAACAGACACCAGGCCCACTGCTGAGCCCAGAAGACAGGAGACCCTCAACCCCCGTTACCTTGGAGTGGGCGATGGACAGCGTGTCCACCCAGACTCGCCAGCCGCCCCACTCGTATTTGATCGCGTGGTACAAGAGGATGCGGAAGATGTTGTAGACCATCTCAGTGACCTTCTGCTCCTCGGAGTTCTTGGGGTTGATGTAGCCGAGAGAGAACATCCAGTCCTGCCACACTGAGCACTGAAGCAAGCACCTGAGGGCACAGGGGGGGCCGCACGTGAGCACCTCAGCACGTGAGATGCGCTCTTCCAAAACTCAGACACAAGTGCGACAACAGCACACGGCCGCCATGAAGCAAGCACACAGACGTGCCGCCTGCGCTATTTCCAGTCCTGGCATGACTTGCCTGGTTTCTCTGCCTTGAAACCTCCAGCAGGACTCAGAGTCCTCGTCCCAGGTCACGCGGTCGGATTGGGCAATCATTCCTCCACCTGCCCATCACCTTAGCCCTCACCCCTGCTTCCCACGTTCTGAACTAGCTGCTACTCCACGACCATCCTCCCACTCGGCTGTACTGTGCATCAAGAGTACTGTCCCAATGCCCAGCACAGTGCTTCCCACAGAAGACACACTCCATCAGTGTTCGGTAAATTAGAGACTCACTGACCACTGCGTGTCCGTGGCCTCAGACCACTCCCTGTGTCCTAGCTTGCCACCTTAAAAGTGAATGACATCACTGACACGACAAACCAGGGAAAAGAATACATGAATACGGGCAAATATAATACAAATAAAAGTGTAAGTAGTGTTGGTAACAGGTAGACATCACCAAAAGAAACAGTACACTGGATAAGGGTCTGTGTACATGTATATCATAAACACAATGAAAACCCAAGAGACGTTGGTGTAGGGAGCTGCGCAGTTGACTCCCATCCCAGATGACCTACGTGACCAAGAAGACCCACCCCACTGGGCCTCCAAGGCTATAACCTTTAGGGGGCGGATCGCCAGGTCTTTGCTCCCTCAGAGCCACTGGTGGGTTTGAACTGCTGACCTCTGGTTAGCAGCCAAGTGTTTAAGCACTGCACCACCAGGGCTCCTTAATAAACAAAAGCATATAAAAGTCAGTCAAAATATGTTGACTACAGATTATGTCAAGGAAACACACGGTGCCTTTCTAATATTATTAACAATAAGGAAAACCAAACCAAACCAAACCCCCTGCACGAATTGATTCCAACACATAGCAACCACATATGATGGGAGAGAACTGCCCTATACAGTTGCCAGACTATAAATCTTTATGGAAGCAGACTGCCGTATCTCTTTGGTGGAGTGACTGGGGGGGTTCAAACTGCTGACCTTTTGATTAGCAGCTAAGTGATTTAACCACTGTGCCACCAGAGGTCACTAAACAATATGGAAAAGATGGGAAAAGCTTTTATTTAAAAAGATTGGAAATTAAGAGCAGAGACTATGAGAGTAATTAGGAAGAAAGTGTCGTTATCCTGCTGGAGAGACTCACCTCCGATTCTCACGGCTGTTGCTGAACAGCTTTATCATGTCAGACAGAAACAGACGGCGGACCTCCATCAGCTCTGCACTCGGGGTCGAGTTTTTCAATAAAGTGGCCACCACCTTAAGGATCACTGTGAACGACAAAGAAACGTGTATTGAAGACGCGTACCTGCAAGACCTCTCCAACTCGAGACACGTTTGGTCATCTACAGCTCAACGCTTGGCGCTGCGTTAGGCGGAACGCCGTGCTGATGGGTGGATGGGACGAGTTTTGACCTCATCTCCCAGGTTACCACGGTACCATCGCATGACCACAAGGACCTGCCACGTGCTCACTTGGATTCTGAATTTTCACTGTGGAGTCTGGCTCTGGGTGGGGTTTGTGTACAACTTGAGTGCACACTTGTTCTGTCAAGATCTGAAAGAAAGAATTTAAACTTCATTTAGCAAATAACAAGAGAAAATTACAGATAGACGAGGAGTCTGCAAAAAAGCAAATGCCAATGCTGTTCAATTTGAAAGATATGTCTCTTCAGAAGACTTTCTGATGAATTGCACATAGCCTTGAACTTCCCCTTCTCAATTTTATTAATTATGGGGAAGGACAAAGGTAGGATCAAATCTAGACAAGTAAGGACTCTGAAATCCATGGATTTGTCGTTTGAAATAGCTGCCTGCGATACAACCTTAAACCCCTGTGCTGAGAAGAACCAATACCTGCCCTCTGCGTCACCATTAATTGGAAGACAAGAAAGGCCCATCGGCCAATGAAAACCCATGGGTCCATGGTGCACGGGGTCACCGTGAGTCTAGCACCAGGCTGACGGCAGCAAAGGGCACTAGGCTTTGACAGCAGGAGACTGCCATCTGCCCCCCTCTTCTCCTCATTTACCATGATGAAATGGTGCGGTTTTGCGACGTGCGCAGTTTGTGAAGCACTGCTGAGTGATAAGGGCATCGCTACAACGTGTGGAGTGTGAAGCGACAATACAAAGGAAGAGAGCGTAGCACCCGGCCCTGTGCTGACAGGCGTTGGTACGCCCGCCCTCCAGCCGGTCTGCGGGAGAGGGATTCGGCAGTACGCTCCCGCCTGGAACTCCAGGCGGCCACTCTGCTCTATTCCGCAGGGTTTCTACGAGTCACAGCTGCCTTGATGGTGATGCTCTGGTGTTCAATGGCATAAAAACAGTTCTTAGCTCACGGCCGCACAAATATAGAGGATGCCGTCTGCCAACCCGGGCACTAAAGGCCGCGGACCGAGGCAGCCCCGTCACAGAAGGGCAGAGTCAAGGGCCCTGCAAGGGAAGCCTTCCTGGTATTTAACTGGGACCCAGCTGCTGTGTGGGGAGGCCCCGGCAGACCCGGGAATGCCGAGCCAGGGCCGCCTGCTGGACGTGATGAGGGCAGCTTTCTGAACGGAGAATGCCAGGACCCTAAGGCACTTGACTGCTAACCAGAAGGCTGGCAGCTCAAACCCAGCAGCCACTCCTCGGAAGGAAGATGGGGCAATCTACTTCTGTAGTGATACCGCCTCGGAAACCCAAGCAGGGGTCGCTATGGGTCGGGTCCGACTCGACGGCACACAGCAACGACAACAAGCCTGCTGCCAGGCACCCCTTCCTTTTCTTTCCGAGATCCTTTGTCACTAATAGTCCTCTACATTTGATCCCACTGTCCACTGTGACCTCATGTTGCTGGCTGTTTTCCTCCTTCATCCCTTCTGTCTGACGGAAGGGGTGACTTTGTCCTGCACCTAAGTGTCTGTGTAACAGCCACGCCTCTCCTAGAGTGCCTGCCCTCCCAGGGGCTTCCCAGGCCGACTGCTCTGACGCTCACCTTCTCGATGGCTCTCGTCTGACGGTGGCTGCACACAGAGAGTGTCACAAATACGAAAACTACAGTCTCTAACGAAAATACAACCTCCAGAAATGGTTCTGGACTCCTCTGCCGTCACAACTCACAGGGGCAGGTGCCCGTGGCTGTCCTTGCCTCAGCCAGTCAGAACTGCCCTCCCTTCGCCTGGTGCCCTCACTGCCCGGGGCCAAGCGGAGCCTGTGGGCTGCTCATGCACCAGTGGCATCTCCCAAAGGTGGGCACACGCCGGGGTGCCCGTCCGTCAGCTGTACCTCTACAGACGGTCACTATCTGTCCCCAAATACATTTCCGCCTGTTATGCAAACCAACCAACCAAACTCAATAGATTAGCAAATTCCACACGGATATACTTGAAATTAAAATAAAAAGTAGAAGGTCTGTGTACTTTTTTCTTTATGATTTCCAGCTTTAACCAGCGTTTCAGATGAACTGGTCAACCGCACAGATTAGAACTGTTTGCACTAGCTGTTTGCACAGCATGAGTGAGACAGCCATGTTTACCTCGTAGAGCGTGTTATACGTGGTGACGGTCACGGTGCTCGTGTGCAACATCAGCCTTTCTCCAAGAAGCGTGAACAGGCTGTGGGTGTGCATAATCTCAACTTTCCTCCTAGAGAAGGGGACACAAGGTAGGAAGAACACTGCTGTGACCGCAGGCTGCTGGGAAGAACCACCCTCCGAAGGCAGGCAGGTTCATCCACACATTGTTCTCCAAACTCCCATTTTCAAGAAGAACCCACAGCTTATAGCACAGCTGTCATGCAAATTTCCAAAACTATGACTACACGTCTCACACAAAGTATCTGTGGAAACAAGACGGGGAAGTGTGAGGACTGATACAACACTGTATTACCCTAAGGGGAGCAGTAGTCTTTGAAAATGTCTAATAACCATTCAGGAATTATTTTTATGGCATTAAAATTACTGTTTTCTCTTAACATAGAAACCAAAGCATTTTTAAATCATCTACATCCACATTCAAAGTCTACAAATTAGTCCATGGTAAACCTTAAGATGAAAGGTGTAAAGTCCAGGGTGAAGGTCAGTCCTCTAGTTTGGTGCTGGGGTCAAAAAGCTCACACACAAGGGATGACCCATTACCACCTGTATCTGTGGTCCACAACTGTCACTTCCTTTAACTGTCCCTACTGTACCCCTAAGAAGCACTGGTGGCGTAGTGCCTAAGGCACTTGACTGCTAACCAGAAGGCTGGCGGTTCAAATGCACCAGCCACCCCTTGGAAGGAAGATGGGGCAATCTACTCACATAGTGATACCACCTCGGAAACCCAAGGAAGGGTCACTATGAGTTGGATCCCACTCCATGGTAAGGAGGTAGCTAAAATGGCACTGCTTTTGCATGACAGCCAGGACTGTCCCCTAAATTAGCACAGACAGTAGACAACAGCCCCTTCATCTGGGTAGGCCATTCAGTTGCTAATCCAGTCACAATGTCCCAACTTCACAGCAAAAAGGACAGCCTGTCCCCACTGAGTCCCTATCCAGGGAGGGAAGGATAGTCACCCACATGAAACTGAAACCTAGGCATTTGTCTTGTGGCTGTGTTTGCAAAAGACTGAAAAGAAAACCAAACAAGGTCAGTTGGACATCTGAAAACTGTAAGACTACAGGATATTATATGGCGCTCTGGTGGCTCAGTGGTTAAAACACTCGGTTGGCAGTCTGAACCCACCAACCACTCTGAGGCAGCCAGCTTCTGTACAGATGACAGCCCTGGAAACTCTATGGGGCAGTTCTATTCAGTCCTCTAGGGGCACTATGAGTAGGAATCAACTTGATCATGGTGGGTTTGGTTTTGTTTTAAAGGACAGTATGGGAATGATGGGGGGAAAGGCTTCAGTGGGTTCCACACCCAGTGACACCCACAGGGAGGAGGCATGAACCCTCCAATCGCTCCCAGTCAGGTGGTGGGGGTGGTGGTGTTATGTGCCATCGGTGAGCAAATGCCAATGCTCTGCCCTTGACCTCTGCTACCTGCAGCTGGTACAAATCAGATGCACATCACGATGCTCGGAATGCAGAGTGATCTCCAACCTGTCACCCCAAGTTTGGCTGAGAAAGAGGTCCGTGCCCTCGTGATTATCAGGCCCAGGACAAACATGCATGTTGTTGTTCTGTGCCTCGAGTCGGCCCCGACTCACAGAGACCCCTCCTTGGGTTTCCAAGGCAGTTATCACTACGGAAGTAGATTGCCCCACCTTCCTTCCGAGGAGTGGCTGGTAGGTTTGAACCGCCAGCCTCTGGTTAGCAGTCAAGTGCCTTAGGCACTACAAACATGCATAGAGATGCTTCACTTGGAGCTGCAGGAGGCTGGACAACCTTGGGTTGCATAATCTTCGTCCTCTCCATCTCATTTTCTCCATATTAATTCCATTTCCTAAAATCCTGATATGATTTGGACCATCATTTCTTTCCTTAGCTTTTCTTGGCCTCTTTTTATCTGACTGTTAAATTGCCTTGTCTTTGAGAGCCTGTTGAATTTTACATTCTTATGAACAGTTCTATAATTGAAAACATTCATAGGATACTACATTTCCCTCAGTAGACGCTTTCTGTTGGCCTGAGCTCATCCTCTGTCTTTTGTCCGTGTTTTCTCTCTTCTTCCGTAGTGTTGCTCAGACCTGACGGCCTTGCCCCTGCTTGCATCGTGTGTGCGTGTGTGCATGTGCCCGATGTTTCCATACTTGTTGGTTTGCATGTAACGCCCCTCACTATGATCTTCTCCCTGTGGCCACAGCATGTTTGCATTGTCCTCTGAGACACATCGTCAGGCCTGGCATTTCCTGTTCATTTTTAGGGGCCTACCTACTTTGAGTGGGAAGCCAGAAGCCAGCGGAAGCTGTGTGCAGACTTCATTGGGCCCCAGGACTGCCCTCTCCTCTGTGATGTTTGCTAGGCGCATCCTCACCAGCTCACTTTACTTTAGGGACTCGACCTTAGTGCTGTAAGGAAACTGGCTCCAGCTTTGGACTGACTACCCAACTTGATAAAGAAGGACATGGAAACTTCACTTCCATCACAGAACGTTACTCATTTCCCGTGCGTCTTACCAGTAACTGTTACCACTCAAAGTCAGAAGAAAGAGAAAATCAGAACAGCTAACAAACAGCCTTACTCTGAATTGGAGATGATGAGGGAGAAATCTAGGGATGCCGTTGACTTTAGGGGGTAGGGAGGCAGGAAGCAGCACACGGGGTCACCCCCACTTTTCTGGCTCTTTCTGGGGCTTCAGTATTTTCAGTTCTGTGCTTTGGGTGATGATGCTTCGCTTGTTTGATTGTGTATCACTTTGGGGCTGGGCTCTTACTGCTATTGAATATTATTTCATTAGGTTTGGACAAGGGAAAATGTTTTAGCTCTCTTTATCAACTGCATATCTGTATGTCCACAATTCCTCTGATTTTATTTTTTGGGAGCGTTAACGGTGAGATACAGTTTCAGATAAGACCCTATTTCTTTCTCCTTCTCCAATCTAGAAATTAAACAATTTCCTGTTCTCAGTGATTGATAATTCACACTTCCCTCACAACCCTCATATCGAACAACACATATATCAGGGTGTTTCTTTCTGCTCTACAGCTCTTCTTTCAGCTCAGCCCCAGGTTTCAAGTCCACTAGACTTTCATGATGCACACTCATCATTCTTCTTTTTCAATCTTTCATTGACATTTTTACTCATTTGTTCATAGGAGTTACCATTAGAAAACGTGTTGATAAATTTTAAATAAAAGTTGGGACTTTTAACAAAATTACATCACATTTGTAAGTTGATTTATTATAATTCTACATCTATACAATTAACTCTTTCCATTAAGGACCATATCATGATTCTTGATTTAGTACAGCTTTGTTTTCATGAAACAGTAAGTTTCTTCACATTTTCAATTAGTTTTGAAGATGAACTTCAAGGAACATTTTAGGCCATTACTGTATAATGAGAAGCATTAATTATTCTTCTAACGGAAACTAATATGCTTGTTAGTCTTCTTCAATCTCCCAAGACAACGCTATGATCAGCTGAGGTTTTAAGCCACATTTTCTCAGCCTTCGACTTGGAGGCGGGGAAGGAATAAGCTCTAGGAATGTTAACCAGGATGTGCCCATTAATGTGTATGTTGTGTTACTGTCAGTTGCTGCTCAACTGGCTCCAACGCAGGGCGCCCCGTGTATCACGTGGTGGCCCGTGCTGCACAGTCCTCCTGGTTGTTCCTATGCTCACCTCCACTCTTATTGCTACTGTGCATTTTGTGAGGCTGACCACCTAGGGCTCTCATCATCCAGCACACACTGCCAATATGCGCATGTGATTGGGCTGCTATTTGAAACTGTAGTGGCATCATTTCTGGCATCACAGCAACATGCAAATCACTACAGCTAAAAACACTGACCAACAGGTGGTGGATCCATGTTTATGGGAACCCGTGTCAATATGGCCCTGGACATAAGGGACACAGGATGGGGCTGCTGACACACTTCCTACAGCTGCCAAAGGAGCAGGGTGTCATCTGTGCTCCTGAACTTCCGGCTGCTCCGATGACTCAACGTTACTCTCCCCACCATTCACTTGACAAAAGGAGTGTTACACACATATGTACGAAGAAACCATGAGCACTTCAAAGACATTCCAACAAAAATGTTCTTCTTACCAAGAACTGGAAGTGGACTTCCTGTACGTAACCACAGAATAACATATATTCTTATAACTATGATAGCCACTCCCATAATTATAAAACCCTTCCACATTCCAACTGTCCTTTTCATTTGACTGAATGAGCTATGACCAAGTGTGTAGTGACACTCCCTCAGAAACCCAAGGAGGGGTCGGGATGAGTAGGATCCGACTCGACAGCACCGAGTTTAGTTTTGGTTTTGGTGGCCAACATTATTGGTACCATCAAAAACATCCCCTTTTTGAAAGTTCTGGTAAGATGGCAGAACAGGCAGACAGACTGCACAGACCTCTTCAACGAAAAAAAGGGCAACCAATTAACACAGACACAGAAGATAATCCTGGAGCCTTGAGCTTCAAAGGGAAAGATATAGAAGTAGACTAAACTCCAACTAGTAGAACTTGCATGAAAACACCAAAAAAGGAGCCATACAGAGCTGCAGTCTGTCAGCGATCCTGACAGCACATACATATTGGATGCTGCCGAGTGGTGTTAGGACCTAAGAATTAACCTAAAATTCGGCCCTGTTAGCCAGGGGCTGCACGGAGGATTGCAGTGGTGGCTGGTGAATAAAAGGGGAAGCAACGAAGAGGAAGGTGGGCTGAGCTGGGTACCTGCCTGTCCAGAGGGCACAGCCATTTTGAATGTTTACAAGGGGTTCAACCATTTTGGATATTTAAAGCAACACCCTTCTCCCAGATTCCAGGGACTTAAGAATAGACTCCACTTGTCGGGATCCACAAGGACACTGTGGATGCCAGTGACTTGAAAGTTAACAGAGATCTAAATACAACAACATCACAATGTCTTGAAGACAAGAGACCATCAGAGTCCACACAAAGAAGCAAGATAACAGTAGTAGAAACAAGAGAGTAGGATACAGACCCAGAACACATCCCTGAGGAAGAAGTAGCATTGGA